GTGTGTGTGTGTGTGTGTGTGTGTGTGTGTGCGTTTGTGTGTGTTTGTGCGTACGTGTGTGTGTGTGTGGATGTATTTGTTTGTTCATACACACATGTACGGCATGTGCCCTGATGTATGTGTATTTCTCTATTTTCTTAGCGTTGCTCTCTATACTCTGTATACGTTTTGTCTGATTGCTTTGTTTCTGGCTTTATGCGACGTGATTGGAGTTGAATAGCATTTTGACGTATTTCGATATTGTACTATTGTACTGTTCGGAAGATTCATATATTCACTTAATCTATGATTTCGGAATCCTCTTACATCCACTGATGTAGCTTACTACTGTTTAGATTCTAGAATTTAATTGTCTATTACATGGTTTTCACGCTATACATCTTCACTGATGTAACCCCAAATCTCATATCTCACAATATACATAGCTTGCGGAAGTGACGTAGAGTTGAAGCCTAAGGAGCCTATTCGCTGTAGAGGTTGCGGATACCGTATCCTGTACAAGAAGCGTACTACAGCCAGTAAGTTGTGTGTAAATAATAAGTACTCACGCTGCCAATTGCATTTGCTTGTAGTGCTTATGGTTTGTGTGACACACAATCAATATTTAGAGTTGACTGTAGTAGATTGTTTGATAATCTAAGTCAAGGCAAAGCTCGGCTAATAATTTATACGTTTATGAATGAATTAGTATAGCAGATTACTTATGTTAGTTTCTTGGCATAATCATGCATTTACTTTTTTTGTATGCACACACGCACATATATATATTATATTATATTATATATATGTGTATTTGTGTGTATGTGCATGTGCGTGTGTACAGGTTTATGGGTACACCTACTACTATTGTGTGTACACAAGAGTTTTTTTGTCAAATTAAGGAGGCTATGATATGTATGTATGTCTGTGCGTGTATCACTATATCTATATCTATATTTATAAAAATTTTATTTTCATATTTTTATCCTTAATTACATATGTATACCATATATATTCATGTATGTGACCGAAATTTATTTATATATGCTTGTGCCTGTATATATATATAATGTATATGCACTATGTTCATATATGTTATTACTATTATATATATATATATACGTAAAATTTAAGTATATTATGTATATTATATATATATATATATATATTGGTATATATATATGTAAATATATGCATATGCATATATATATTAATTTACTATTATATATGTATGTATAATCTATATATATATATATATTACATTGTATATAAATATATACATAAATATATGTATTTATATATTTATCCATATATATATATATTATTAATATTTGAGTATTTGAGTATACCTTAACCCCACATTCTTAGTTCATATGTGATTTCGTACATATATGCATATCTACATACATGAATACATGTATATCCATTTAGATTTGAGTCATTATTGGTATATGCTGTACGATGTCTTGCCCACTGTATACATATTCACTACTTCTCTCAAATTTGTCAGTAGATAAATGGGTTTTTTGTCGAAATCAAAATGAAACTTGAGTGTGAATGTATTCTATTTTTCTCAGATACGCTTTCATCTTGTTTGGCCGCATCACATACACTTTACATCGATATCTGGTGCTTTAAAGCCTTAAATCTTTCCATTAGACACTAATTAGTGTCTGGTTAAAATCATGTAATGTTAGTGTTTTTTTACGCTCGTGACACACTTGGAAGAACGTTGTATGTCCACGAATCTCTTACTAACTATAATATTACTTTCGTTTCTTGTTCACCTACTACAGTGGTGCAATTGGAAGCGCGGTAAGAAACACGGGACGAAACAACAACGCACCCCATCAGTGGGGGTTTACAATTCTCCAGTGGCCTAATGTGCACTTTACGCTAGGCAGAACTTGATGTTATAGTCAAGGAACTACAAGAGAGTGTGCGTATTACCTAGACGGCTGACACCGAATTTACTGGCGATATTCTGATCAGCGTACAATTCCCAGTGCCAAGACTGTTTCGTACTGTAAAGCCTAAGGTTAAAAGATGTAGGGGTTTTCTGCTTGTAGCCTGAACCAGATCACCTCACGTGTATATAATCTTTCTCGAAGTTCTGGATGGCAACTTCAGCCGGTTGGTGCTTGGTCTACAGTGGACTTCAGTCGACACCCTATTAAGAAGAATCGGTTCGCTTGCGCTCGCATACACCTCTATCTACTTTCAATATCAATAAACAAGTATTTATCGAACTTATGCCTATGAGTCAGCCGTAGCGCTTTGTATTAGTCTAGCAGACTTTTCGAATTAATTTTCTGTGTATTCTCCTCGTTCCTCTAATATAACGTACTGTGTACTCTTTGGAATTTTCACTAAGATGAGCTGCAAAATCGATTATTCTTCCAACGCAGGGAGCATCCACAATTCAAGGTGCACTGGAGACGATAATAGCGCTTAATGTGTGTGATGTTGTCTAATTGAGACGGCGATGAAAATGTACTCTAAATAATCTCACTTTTATTACTAAATTTCTATAAAAAAAATGTTCTACTAAATGGGGTTTTTTTTCCTCTGCTATTAATCAGTTTTCACTTCCCTCTGCATTGTTCCGCTGCCCTCGACAGATGATTTGGGTTGAGTAAAGCCAGTGGCGACCACAAACGACTCGGACGATGAACTGAGTAGCGGATAAATAGACCAACGAAGACATTAGTGTTGGTAAATTGGGCCTCAGATAAACCCCATACTGTAATTGATTGTCGTGAGAGCGCAATACGAGCAGTGTAAGAGGTTTGAATAGGAATAATCCTGAAACTGTACACACAAATCTAAAACACATCTGCTTCAAGCGACCGACAGGGACCGGAATGACAATCCCTGTGAAACAATCAAAACTCTCTGCTGTCACGCACCTCCGACTGGCAGCTGGCTTCGCAAATTTGACGGACTGGAAAGTTTGAGTCAGAGAAGTGCGGAAGTCTGCAACAACATAAAGGGGTGACGTTAATTGTAAGCAAGTCCAAGCTTTATCTTACTAGTCTCGTGAGATACCCAAGGCCGTCATAATTCATTTTTGTTTCAATTGAGAGGAATGTTATTTCCGCTGAGAATGTGTCAAAATCCACGCTCCAAGTATAGAATATAAAACAAGGTCAGTACCCCTTAAGAGAATCTCTTAACTATTCTAAGATAGAACAGCGAACCCCCACCAAGACCTCCACACATCATGCATAGCCGCAAGAACAAAATAGCGTCCATGGCACCTGCCTCTGTACGGACTTTGCATTTGTGATACACTTTCCGCACTATACATCCATGGTCTATCACGTACCCTTGATATCCCCACCTCCCAGTAGTTTCACTACAAGCGTCCCGCCTGGTTTGAGATTGCCCTTCGTGAAGTTCAAAACGGCATCGCAAAGATTCTGGAACACATTGAACGGAATCAATGATCAAGTGGTAAACATGATGTACTCTCGCGAAGCAAACCAGCGAAATCCGATATCCGACCAGTAGAGCTCTGTCGCCACACATGCATCCCCAAGTGTTATACATTTAATCATTTGTTTCTTTTTTCGGTGCCATACAGCTTAACCCCAATGGCTCAGACCTGAAGAATATACGATCCCAAATACAGCACACACAAAAAAGATAAAGCGACAATTTCCATATAGCATACCATTAACCGGTCGAAATCGACAGATGGCTGCCCGCTTGCTGGTGGTGCCATGTCGCTGTGTGTCGGATTAATTGCACAATGGGTCAAGGGTCAATGTTCAGAACTTGCGTTGCGCTACGACTAACTTTCGTGGTATAAATTGTCGCCTCTATACTGTCAGAACGGACGTAAAGCAACACACCGGATCGTCATGCATTGCAAGGAGACAATACGAATCTGACTACCAAACTGGGCGTGCAGCATACCTAAGTACCACATCCGCTCGTTTTCCTTGTAGAATCTTGGTAACCTCTGCTTGCGTATCAGCCTTTGTGAAGTCCCCCGTCACTAGGGAGGCGCCGGGCACCACATTCATCTCTAAACGAGGATTAGCCAGACATAATCAATATCACTAAACTCGGCATACGCGATTTCAGACGCGCATACATACACACGGGATAGGCAGACAGACAGGGATACCAATTATGAAACTGAATATGTCTGGAAGGTATACAACAGGAAATTATATACACGTATATAAGCAACATTGTGCGACTACATGAGTATGTAATGGGATATATATGTGTGTTTATGTGGACAAATCGTCCATATATATATGTATATGTATATATATATATATATATATATTATATAAATAAATATATAAATAAATAGATATACATGTATATATATATATATTTATATAATATATACAATATATATA